GCGACCAACACTGAATACATCCGTCGATATACTACACACGCGGCCACGAGCAGTAGGATTACAATTTTTACGATTGGAATTAAAAGCAAATAAACGCGAGTATAGGTGTGTGACATTTCCACAACAGGTATTTGCATAAGCCACTGGACTTTTTTTTTTGTTTTTTGTTTCAGCGTAAAAATTTTTTATTTATTTATTATTTTTACTATCTGTTATTTTTTTTTCATTATGAAAAAGGGAGTTTTAAAACCCATAGTACTTACTTTACTTTTGAACAAAATCACATGAAATCAACAACAGAATTTAAACACTCGCCAACGGCATTACTTAGAAATATCAAGTAATTTATATACATATATACAGAGTGATTCACTAAGCACGATCATCAATTTTTTCGCTTAAGTAATATAACTATTCAAAATCTAACTTTGGAATTTTTAAATATAAAAACCATATTTTTAATTTATTGAGTTTTTTTATTATTACTTGATCATTAAGTCTTATAAKCCATAAGTCAGGACTTAAGAGTGTGAAGATACAAACGTTTGCTTTTCAAATAAGAACTCCCTTTTCTATTATAAATTAGAGAACATTTTAACGCAGTAAACCAAAATTTGAATTAGTAATTTTAAATTATATAATTTTGTGTACAGATGATAATATAAGTCCATGAGGTTTTGAAGATTTTGCGTTTATGGTGATTTGAAAATTTTAGTAATAAGTATTAATGTTTTATCAACATTATTTATTTGCAAAAATAGTTCAYGTCATATAATAAATACAAGATTCAATATTTAAAGCTATTCTATTTATTTGTAAGACTATTTTTATAAACATTTTAATAATAACATTAAAAAAAATATATCCACTAAATAATTTAGTGTAAAAGTGAGGGGGAGAAACAGAAGTTTGTTTCGTTCCATAAAATATGGTCTTTAAGCGTGTTTAAAAATTTAAAAAACAAGAATTTGATTAAATTCATTATTTAAGAAAATAACGGGGATAATCTTACTCAATGAACCACTCTGCATACATGGGCGTGTGTATTTATCGCCCACAATAAACAGGATTCATGCTGTTACAGGTAACAGGTATAGGGTATAACGTGCATTTATTTTCGATTAACATAACGGTTTTTATTATTCAGTTGAGAAAAAAAACAGAAAAACACGATATTCTTGGTGTTCTGGTAAACTAAATCCCAGGGGAAAATCCACCACATTTCGTGGGACTATAAGCTTTGAAAAGATGTACGCATTATCCTACCTTTAGTATAAAAAGTATAAATGGCCTTAGCACACTCGACTCTCGACGTATACTCCTTCTAAAATGAAAGACAATTGTTAGAATTACATATTATACTCGAATTCATTGCGATAATATCCCCCTTACAACTAAGAATGTTCTCTATACGTTCATAATAAAACTACACGAAAACTAAATCTTGAGTACAATGGTTTATATCCATTAAAAATAATAACTTCTCTTAATAAAGCTATAAATGGAAATCATATATTTAAAACTAAACCGTTTTCATTAAATGTAAAAAGAATTAAATAAATAATGTACGCAGGCGAAGTCGGGTAATTCAGCTAGTATAATTTATAATCATAAGAATTAAACCGAAAATAATATCGATCAAACTTAATTTTTAACCATATCAATTTGGCCACTGATAATATTTAATATTAAACTAATTATAGAAACATAGAACATTTTTGGTACAGCAAAGTTCTGCATAGTAATATATTCAGTACTCGATTTGTAGGGACGGTACGTTGTTTGTTACAAAATATCATTTTAATAATACCTATGCAAAATCCATGTAGTTTTAATTTCGCCAAATAAGATATTATCCAAATTCAGTTGAATGAGTTATGCAACTTAATATTATGATACTGGATGACATCTATGTAATATAATTTTGTTGTAATTTTAAACTTTATAAATTAAYATTTTTAATTCAATAAAATCATGAAAATTGACTATTGTTCAAAAATAAAGTATTTTTATCAGTCATAAGTAGTCGTTAATATATAGCATACTGGTAAATTTATTAAAAATTATGTTTTCTGAGATTAATGGTTGAGGAGGAGGATAAAATTTAGGTTATGCTCGATATTTCAATGGACGTTAATTGCTATGTGGACAGYCTCTAGTAATCATTTGGAGCGATTTATTATTACTAGATTTTCTTATTTTATTTTAATTTAAAAAACGAACAATCGTAAATATTTAAATTTTCACATAATTAAAAAAAAAACATTTTGTATAACATATTATAGTATTATTTCAAATATATTTTAATTGATTCACACTTTAACAACATTTTTCAAAACCACTAAAAAATCAAATTATATTGTAAGATAAAAACTTATAAAATGTCGAATTTAGGTATATTGCTAAAGCTCTCATAAGTATTTCATACTAAAACCAAAAAATCTAAAAATAAAACATGGCATAATTTTTTTATAATCAAAAGCCTTTAAATTTCAAAGTTCCAATTTAGACAAAATTCTATAATTTAACAAAAAAATAGTTATTTTAATTCAAAATTATTATTTAAGGGGGACTTTACGCATATAAGTGTAAATATTGTCATACGCAATGAAATTCTCAAAACATTTATATTCATTTTAAGCTACAATTGTCTATTTAAAATATTAAATAGTAAGATAAATTGCTTTAATTAATAGTAATACAATTAATATATCATGAAATCTGCATATTAATAAAGGCTAATTGTCTTCATTAAGAATAGTTGTTCATATCCAAAAATGTATTATTYAATTTAAATTTAACATATTATACAATACAGTGACTTACTCAATATAACGATGTACTCTATGGCGTCTACTGTACAGCAGAGCGATTACCCATACTTTCTTCCTTTTTAAAAATAAATCGTTAAATTATTATGAATAAAAACTTTATAAAGGAACAAAAATATTCAGAAGTTTCTTGTTTATCGAGTACTGCGAGTAAAAATATCCAATTATAGTTTCAAGTTTTTATATATCTTATATTGATCACTAATTTGGTTATTTTTTACATTACGTTATATGTAATGAATCAACTTGTGTGGGCGGATTTTCGGATATTCTATCTTATTAAATAACTTAAAATTAGAATTATAAAAATAAAAATAAAACTAGCAAGAAAAAAATATAAGGTATCGTATAACGTTTTATGAGCTATTTGTTGAAAACAAAGGTAACCACAATTCTGCAGAGTGCAGGGCACTATTTAGTTTTTTTACGTATTTACCGAACTATAATAATATGATATAGGTACATCATTAAAATATGAAATATACAACATCATGGTATAAAAAAAATGTCTCGACCCTGAATATTTTTTAATTGCAACGGTCGACGCGGTGATAAATAAAACGGTCGTTTTTTCTCTTATAAACACCCAAAATTGAATTAAATATGTAATGTGGTTCCATTAGAGGGAAGAAAATAAAATGCTCATCGCATCGCACCGTATTATATAGTTATAGTGTAAAACGTTTAAGTTGGCGAAAAGCGTAAATAATCGTATAAGTCTGTAATATAATTGCCGTTAAACCGTTACTAAACGTTTGGTCTGAACCATGCGCTAATGATAGTATATATATTTCGTAAGACTTGGACATAAATCGTTTGCCCACTCTAACCTTTTTGGCAGGTATTAGTTGTAGATTTTCGGTTCTCTTGGCTGCGTAGATTCTCCGTCACTATCGCGATCCTGCAGAGGTTAGCAATAATTCCCGCCAGTCTATATCGTACCCAGATGGAAACCTCCTAACAACGTTCGCAATCTGCTCCGAGTAAGAATAATTTTTTTTTTTTTGCATTTTCATCGTCGGTCGATTATATATCGTACGCATAAACCACGAAACCCACTCATCGTTTACACGAGACCAATTATAGTTATTATTTTTCTTGTTATGACCTACCGATTATTGATTTTATTATTATTGTCTTTAAATAATATTATTATGAGCTCTAGCTAGTTGCTAGTACATTGTTGTAGCTAACCCATAACATAAACATTACCTATACAAGTATTTTTTGTTTTGACTTGTTTGTGTTACAAATTTCAAGTCGTAGGCAGTCTAATGTATTATGCATACAAAAGCTTTAGTTTGAAACAAAAAAGCGTATTTGATGAAAATATTGTGGTCGAATACGTGCATCATTTGAATAGAACCCAAGTCTATATATATTTTTTTTAAGCTATTGTACTTACAAAATAGCTATAGCGAATTTAAACTTGTATCAAGGTATTATTTATTAAGTTCAATCCAACAAAATTAAAAATAAACTTAAATGTAAATAAATTACATAATTACCTACTTTAATTTGGTATGATTTACGTGTAAAAAAATCTTTTAACATTATTAAAACTAGCGGTAACTAATTTACWAATGATGTTTTTCTCATAAAAAATAATAATAATCTAGTACCCAAATAATTATCGGCCTTGTAATAATATAATATCTTAAAATTATTTTGTTATTTTAAATTATGGAAATATATTTGAATATTTATCGTAATTATATTATATATAATATATGTGTGTACTGTGTTATTGAAACAATATACAATTTCTGTGACAACCGGGATTTGACCTTAAAGAGTAAAGAAGTATCCACAGAAAACACTACCCTTGGGACTTAATTAAAATATAAGACCAAAACAAAATKAATATAAATTATAAATTGACCTTTTCACACTGCGTTTTATAAAATAAAAATACTATATTGTGTGTAAAATACTTTAATGTATATTACGTTATACATTAATGTAATAGATATATTTAAGAATTTATCAAATTTAGTTTGAGAAAAATATGTAAGATTATTATTTTAAATAGTGGTAATGTAGTAGGTATATTTTAAATTCTCGCTGTTTTAAAAATCTTCCYAATGTACCAGTATGACTGTAGAGCAGTTTTTAGCGATTCTAACATAGGAATGTAATTACAAAAATGAAAATATTTCATTATTACAGAGTGTCCGCCCACCGAAGATGGATTCGAACGATTTGCTTGTCCCACTCCAGACAAGGAAGGACGGTTCAGGTGCATAGACGACCACGTTCTGTGTGACGGATACATTGATTGTCCAAATGGCGACGACGAAGACAGAAAGAATTGTTTCTTCTTCAAAACAGTAAGAACAAAAATAATAATTACTAGCTTAATCAAATGCAATTTATTTTGGTAAGGAGATGGAAAGACACCATCACATTAATCAATTTAAGAATGCTCCATTTTAACACTAAAGTAACTTAATTACCAATCTTATAATTTAAGTTGTGCATTTTGAACAATATACTAGAAGATAAAAAAATAAATATTTTTATCAAATCCCTTCAATATAAAAATAAAAATTAAATATCCAATGTATTATTATTATTATTATTACTCATACAGGTTACCAAATTAACTATTTATCAATTTGTAAACACTATATTTCATTTTATTATTATTTTCAAGAAATAAATGTTATAATTTATAGAGAAATACAATGAGTTCTTTCCATTGAAAATATTCGATCAAGAAAAATAAATAAAATTAAGTTTCAGTAAAGTTTATAAATGAAATAACGTAGTAAATTTCGTACCCGTCCTTTTTTCACAAAATAAAAGTTTGTGAAAAACTATTTCTAGTGCCTATATTGAAAGTGATAATATCTGTTACGAAATATTGGAAACATGATATTGCTACATAAAAATTAAATATTTTAAAAATTTAAAAATTGACTTTTTTCAGACTAAAGCTCATCTGGACATACTAGCAGACGCTCTTCTACGATGGGCAAGAGGACGCTAATCTAAAATGTAATTTAAAACAATATCTTGATAAAACGCCTACGACAATTTAAATTAAAAAACCATAATTTCAATAAAATAACTCTCCTTCTATAGGTTTGATTGAAAAATAATATTTTCCCTAGAAACTTGTTTAAGGTACTTATAAAAATTGTTCGCATTACATGTGTGTAAACACACGACAAAGTTAATTTACAGGATAAAATGGAGGCCTGGAAAACGAAACGCTTTTTGGCGTACTACTACTGATGTTACACCGGTAAACATTTCAACAGTATATTAAATTATATTAACCACGTTTTCCTCTTTTATGTGCTCATAACATTATGATTTCATTTTAAAACTACCAAGTTCCTACAATAGTTGTTGTTACCAAGCATGTGTCATGTTGATGTATTTTCGTACGGGTTGTATATTAATTTATTGGTTTTTTTTTTAAACTCTATCTGTGGTCAATCAGATCTATGAATGAGATCGCAATAAATCATTTTATGTTTATTTTAAATTTTAATCGTGAATAATAGAACTTGTAAATATTATTATTACTATTACTATTACTATTATAATTATTACTATTACAACTACTATTATTATACTATTAATTTTATTATATTTATTACTAAATTTTACTGTTCAACCTATGCTTCCGCATGTGTTTTTATTGTTTCCACGGCCTTTTTTTAGATAATAATACACTATTGATGAGTTTTAAAAAAAGGATACAAAATATTCATTTTTATTAAAATTATACACGAAAGTTTATTAAAATTATACACGACTTTTATGAAGAAAAAAAAACAAACCTTACAACACTTTTGTGTTTATTATTATCATTTGTATTTATTTACCCCGACATTGCATGTGCCTGTTCTACCCGAGTTTGTGTTTAACCCTAATTTACCATAAATATCACATCACCTAAATCCTATTTATTATACTTTGACGATACTATGTAGCTTTGGATATTTCTTAAATGCACGCAGGGATGGACAAACTAAAAACACAAGGTATACATGTATGTTTTTTTAATGTACTATAACAAACTTATGAAAATCCTCGTGAAATAATTAGAGCCCATCCCTGTAGTGTAGGTATGTATTTGATATCCAACCTGTTTAAATAGAATGAGACATGCAGTTTGCACATTTTTACATAGTGATGAAGACATCGTCGTAAAGGTAGGTAATCTGTAATTTATTACACAATTACATTACATTTTGAAGTTTTAATGTTCTAGTATGTATCGTAATTCATTATTTATGTGTTTCATAAGTGAAATACGCCAACAATACCTAATTTTTCTTTATGAGAATCATATAGATACATGTTAGTAGGTAACTRAACTAAAATTACATTTTACATTAAAATTTTAGAATTTAGCAATAATAATAGTACATCATAAACATAGGTAATTAATGTAATATTCCAAAGTTATAAAAGATTTTTGAGGGAAACTGATAAAAAAATCGCACAATTTAAAACCTCTGAATATGCATATCATTTACTAATTCTATTTGATGCACTGGCACACATGCATTACATAACATTATAGCCAATCACATAATATTACTTTTATATTTCGTTTATAATATTATACATCTTTTATCATCTGTGCTAACATTTAAAAATATTAAAATATTACCTTTTCACAACATATTTCATTATTGACCATGAATAAAAAATCAATGCACTGACATCGTTGTATTATAATAGTACATTAGTAGGTACTTAACTCTTTTTATCGCTTAACCATGTCAATAATATAGTTAAATATTAAATTACCAACCTCAAAGTTATTAATTTTTCTATAAATATTAATATCTATATTATTTCTATTTCTATCTATATTAATACACAAACGATTATTTACAAACGTACTTCATATATTTTAACACTACAAACATATAGAATGAAATATTTTATAAAACAATTTTATATATTATTATAATATGTAATTTTTAGATACCTAATATATATAACATGTGTGTACCAATACATAATTTTACTATTATAAATCTGGCACCTTAAAATCATAAGTATTTACTTATTTTATATTTATGGAGAGGGTATTAAGTAAGGCTTAATGTGACAAACATACCAATTAAAAATATGTTATTTTTTAAAATTAAAGTGTCTATGACTTGATGACCCACGGGAGTAAAATACACCAAATATTAGTTGTTGAATCCGAAAACCATACACTTAAAATAAAATATTAAACTAAACCACACACTTTTTTGAGATTGTTGTATCCAAAAACTAATAATTTTATAATTACTTAAAATTTATATATTTTTTAATATAAAATATGTTATTTATAATTCATACATTTATTTAAACAAAAAACATATCAAATAAATTTACATCAGCTAATAACTCATCATAAAAGTTAAATTAGAATTCTATATTTTTTGTACATGTTACAATAAGAATTTCAACTTATTTGTAAACATAAGAAATTGTTTCACTTTGAATGGTAGAATGTCATAATTTAAAATAAAATAAAGTGCTTTTATCAAACCTTTTGTTAAACTTTAAAAAAGTTTTCGGCATTTGAAATACATCTGAGATGTAGATTAAAAATAATGTATGGTATTTTACTTTACAATGAACCGCTAAAGTGTGTGGTTTTTGTCAATCGACCTTTTGGAGATGAAGTCGAATGTATGCGGTTTTTGGATGCAGCTATTAGCGTATTAGATTACAAACAGTGTTTATTATAACCTTGATAGAACAATTATTTTCGTGAAATTAGTACGAATATTTTAATATTTTAATATTTAAATAATTGTTATTAATTTAATTCTACAAAATTTTTATTTTTAATGAAATTAATAAGTGTGTTACGCAACATTGTGAAACGCATTTCGGTATTTGGGTGTACAATTTCGTCTAAATGCCTCTGTGTACCTAATCCATTCAATATGTTTCTAATCCTATCCCAATCAAGTGAATAAACTGTCCACTATAACATCATACAGGATTATTTTGTCGAAGAAATTGACACAGCACTTAGTGTTTGCTAATTTCTACTTACATATTAACTTCAGTCTCTCTTGTTTTATTTAATTTAGGTCTCACTCCCCAATAATGTCCAATCACTGAGCTATACGCATGATTGAGTGGGTTTGATTAAATTATTTGCCCTAAAGTTTAAGATATTCTTTCCACGCAACTRGAATCTGTACAGACGACGTGACACAACAAAAATGAGTTGACGCTGTAGGTACGTTAAAKTTTATAGGAACAACATTTTCTTATACTATAATACTATTATTATTGAAAATATTATTTTGATAGATTTGCTTATTTTCGTACTGATAAAAACTCTATCGAAATAACCCGATTCGATTTTGATTGTTGGCTGACAATAAATTCAAATTTATTTTATAAAACCCTTTTTAATCAAAAGTTCATCAATCACGAGCATACAATTGAAACTATTACTAAACATTATTAAACAATTTTATTACTCGTGTTTACACTCATTTTATTCAAATAAAAGTAAATTTATTATCACAGAGATTTAGAATTTCAATATAACATAATACACTTTATAGACTCCATACTTATTAATAATAAATCATTCCTGAAAAATGTACAAGTTCTCAACATTTTTTTTTTTTTAACGGAAAGGCTGTAAAAGTAATTTCGTCCATAATTGTTTTTAAAATGTGACAATAATGGCTTTTAAATGTAACAATATACTTCTAAGTTCTAACCCATTTGTTTCAACGACGAACATACWAACTAAACTTTATGGCTATATAACTCACATCATACTAAAAATGTGTAAATTATTATTTATAATTATGTATGTATTTTTATTTATCACCTAAACGGAAATTCCATTATTTTAATATCAATTTTCAAAATGAACGTAAAATAAAATCATTTTTACCATTTACCATCCCCAATGTTTAAATACATCTATGATCTATTAAATATTCAAGTAATATGAACCAGTAACGTGAATCTTTAACTTATTGGGTGTAATGCTTATCTATAAGCTCACCTAAGCATTTAAGCAAGCTAATACCTTATCATTATAAACTTTTCACCTTAGTTATCATTCTCAAAAAAAAAAAAAAATACTTTARATTTACAAATTTATCTTCATAGTTTACAGGCAATATAAATATATAATATATAACTTATATAAGATTTAAAAATACTAAAATAAGTAATTTCCATTTTGAAATACTTTTCTTTCTAAATAAAATTACTGAGCAGATTCTACCATCAATGATAAAAAATCATCTAATTTTTTACTGAATTAATCTATACATTTTAATATTTTATGAATAATTGCAAGGGATTTTTAATGTTATCAAAAATGAGTGATTTTTCCTCGATATTCCTTGTATTTATTTCAGAAGTGCTTTGAAAATTTATACCTGGAAAATCAAGGTGATAATTACGATGGACTCTCTATTGTGTCTTCTTTTTTTTTTCATGATTAGTTTAAATATATTTTAAACACACTTTATTATTCAAGACATTTATACATTTTTCTGATGAGTATTAAATTTCCAATTCCTGAAATTCACCACGGGCTTAACATAATGTATTTAAAATAAAATAGGTACACCCTTAAATGCACAAATACTACACTCGGCTGCGTTTCACAGTTTATTCTAAGTAACTAATATTATTAACTTTTATTGAATTTTAAATACCTTTGGTGACACTTTTACGAAATCAATATTAATTCCAAGATGTTAAAAATAATGAATGAATATGACATGTGTTTTAAATGAATTTATTACATGAATGATGTATATCTAGGTTGGACTTTTTTTATATATTATTATATATTTCGGACCAAGCAATATTTCATAACCATTTGAAAGATTTAGGATTTACTGTTGTTTGAAATTTTAAATTACAAAAAAAAATCTAAACTTCTCAAATAAAATATTACATTTTATTCTATACAAATATTGTAGAAAGAGCTTAAAAAACTTTTATGCTGAAAATACTAAAATGGTAATCTATATAATTTATTCCGGGAGCTATATAATATGTATTGCGTTGTATTAAAAATCTAATTATGATTTTTTCAATTAATTGC